TTGTATTAGAGCCTTCAGCAACATTTGAACCTAAACTTTCACTAGAGTTTTCAAACTCATCTTATACATAAATATGATTACATAAGTTTGTACGTTGACCAAGTCTATTATAATCAAAAATTAAGCTATCTTCTGTGCTATTTCATGCATTAGATATGCCACAATACTTGAAAGCTTTTCATATAAGGTTAGAATCAATATCATTCCATGTCTGAAATATCCATTGAGCAACCAAATTATATGCAGGGTATTGAATACGACCTGTCTTAGTATAAGTTAAAATACTATTATCTAGCCAATCGTTATAATAATGCTACATCTAAAATAAAACTTATTAAATTATTTATTTAAATATAAGTTTTGCTAAATTAAAACCTGAAACTAAATATATCGATATTTAGTTTAAGGTTTTAATTTGGCATAACTTATATAATAACAATAAATAAATAAATTTATTGAAATACCTTTGCCTTAAATGATTTATTTATAGCCACATCTAACAGTTGTAATTTTGAAGTACAGCCTCCTGAAATTACAGCTAAATTAGTATTTTTTTCAAAAAATCGATGCTTAACAGTATCTTCTATATATCCTTTAAATAAATCTAAAACTAAAAGTGAGCGCAGATCTGTCCTTCCTCTATGACTCCATACATTCTCTATTTATCATAACATTTCATTTGAATTCATCTATTCACTAGAATTTGCACGAATAATTATACCTGCAGGAAATATTTGCCTTAGAATATTCATAAGTTTAAAAATAATAACAGGTAGGAGTTTAGTTTCATCTGCTATACAAGCGAGCACAATAGTATAATTTGATTTTTCATAACCAGAGGTCCTTAATGAAACTGTATTTGTACTACAATCATCAATTGTTATATTGGTAGGAAGATCAAATGACATAAGAACCTCATCCATATTACCTATTAAGGCAAGTGGATAATCAAATTGAATTCTACGATATACAACCAAACTTAAAAATTCTTGTAGTGCAGGTTGTAAATCTTCTGATAGTTTTTGGACTACAGTTGTTCTACGTCTATTACTTAATTTGTGATAAGTCATAAAACCATTGATCCATTTATCTGAAAATTTGGCTTCAGAAATATTAGAATATAATGTAGTGTAGGGAGCTCTTTTTGATAATGCTTTTGCTTTAAGTTAAACCATTAATCATGTTACAGGCTTAAGTGCACTTCATAAATCTTTTACTTAACCATAAATTTTATTTTCTAATTCAGAATACTTTGGTGGTCTTCTGTTATTTAACTTTCTAATATGAGGTGAAACACATATTAAATTTTCTTTTTTACTTTGCCAATCTTTAACTTGCTTTGGTTCTATATTGAAATGTGTAGCAGTTGCACGAACACTATTACTAGGGTGCTTTTCAAGAAATGTAATGATTACAAGTTTCTCGTAAACATTCTATTGTCTCTTTTTTTTTTGAGTGATTCGAGCCTGGCCACAATTTTTATTTCCATGTACCATAGTATAAAGAAATACAGTAAATAAAAAAAGAAAAAAAAATCTTATTTAAACGTACTGTTATCTAGCACCAGTACGTAGTGGTAGTACCATATTTTTTATTTCTTTAAAAGTAAACTTTGCATGTCACAGAATAGTAATATCAAACTATATATTAACTAATTAATATACCCCATTGTAAAGTATCCCCACTACAAAGTACCTCTCTGTATTTATACCTGCTCCCTATAATTAGTACTCAGGTGAGTACTATTCAATAAAAATTAGTAGTTGAAAGAATAGTATCCTGGGTACTATAGTCAGTGGCATACAGTACTTAAGATAGGTGTAGATCATACATCATCTTTATATCATTTACATGAAGAGTATCAACAGTTATTTAATAATCAATTACAATATTCACAGCTTGAAGAATATCAAAATAGAGTGCCTACTCAAGGATTACTAATAGCATCACAAGTCATATTTCTAAAAATTGACTCTATATTAATTAAGTTTGTAACGCCACATATATTATTAATACAAAGACAACAAATGAATAAATTATTACTTTATTGTGCAGCATGTTTAAAAATATCTGAATTTAATAATATTGAGGTAAAGTTTGGTTTTTTATTTTGTGAGTTTGTTAATTGGTAGCATTATTCTAATACTTATTAAATATATAGTCAGAAAATAATGTTCTCAAGAATAATTTTACTGAAGATCTTAATGATCATTCTCGAATATTATTATCTAATTTATTAGAAAATGTTAACTATAATGATATTAAAGAAATATAGCAGATTCAAGGAATTATTGTTCCTGTAATTCATTATATTATTCTTCTAGTTGATGGCACTTACAAATGTACTTGCATGTTCCTTATAAATAGAGGTGTCATATGCAAACATTTTTTTCAAGTAATGCTTCTTTCATCCTATATAAAATTTTATATTGCACTTATATCTGCACGTTGGTATTAAGAATCTATGCAACAAATTAGTCATACTAATTTATTAGTGAATTATTCTTATCTCTCTTTAAAAAATACAACAAACACAATAATTCTATCTGAAAAAATATGTAATTCATATAGTTTAGAATATTTAAAACAAATGAGGACTAATAATATGACAAATTCAGAAATGTCACAAAATGTTAGTAAAAAAATGAGATATTCAACTAAATTTGGAGTTCTTAAAAAAGCACTGAATTTGGCTATTTCTCTAGAATGTGATGATAAATTGTTAGATATTTTACATCAATTTATTGGAGATAAGCAAAAATTAAGCACTAATTATCTTATAAGCAATAATAATAAGAAAAATGATGCAACAGAAAATCAAAAATTTGATAATTTATATATTTCTATTCAAGTAGCTGATCCACTTGTTGTTTGAAAGAGAGGAAGACCTTCTAAATAATTAAAATCATTAACAGAATATAATAATATAGTAAACAAAACCAAAAGAAGCATATTAGCACTATTAAATAAAAACATACGATTAAATCAGTCTATATTCAAGGAATCTAACAATACTTATACTGAGATTGATCAAGATACCAAATTTTTAACTAATAATCAAGTACAAGAAGGTGTAGTAAATAAATATAAATGTAGAATTTGTAGTAGTTTAGAGCATAATGCTCAAAACAAGAAAAAATGTCTTCAGCAAAATTCTGTGTAAAAGCTTATAAATTTATATATTAATCTGATTAAAATAGAAAACTTCAAGTTTATATTAAGAATATATAGTAATAATATTACTAATTGTAATAAAGCATTATTTTATTGTCTTGAAGATTACAATTTTAACAAATTTTTCATGGTATAATTATAAGAGTTTAGTTTTACTAATCTAAAAAAAATTGCAACTAGCGTTAGGGTTTGGGTTTAGGTTTAGATATATTTTGATATAATTTTATGTTATAAATGAACTTGTCTATAGGTATGTACATATTTTAATTTGAGTAGTTAGAAAAATTTTTTAAGTTTGTAATACTAGAGTGATTAATATGTACTCTTTATTTGCACAAGTTGTACAAATATTTATAAAGAAAATAGCTAATTTTGACTATTCTAGATCTGAATATATGCGGAAGAAGAAAAAAAAATGAAAATACCTAAAAGCTAATGTTTAAATTGACTTTAGTATATAGTCTGGCAATCTTAGTGTAGTGGTTAGATTGCCAGACTGCCATGCAAGAGGTCTGGGGTTCAAATCTCACTATCGACGAATTTGAATAATTATTCAGACCTTTGTACCTAACTTACAGCAAACTCTGCTCGTTTCTGGAGGTTACAACTCTGTAAATTATGTTGCACCAATGTCAATTGAATATTGAAAGTGTGATGCAATGCTTGAGTTACATTACACAAATAAATCTTGATAGGATCTATGAGCAGGGGATCTGCATGGTAGAAATCCTGAGTTTAGTTAAGTAGTACGGATTTCAACAGTCAAGCCGGTTAATGCCTGATCCAGTGAAAAATCTGAGTACGAAGGATGTGAGATCAATAGGTGTGAGTAAGTCCACTATATAATGCAGCCTGGTGCCTTGCATTAGTGCCAACACCAACTTGGCTTGGCGGCTAACTAGATTAGGAGGATCTACCTTGTGAAACATCTGGTTGGAACTTAGAGGACTATATCTGGTGGACAGCCACAGCAGGAACTAGGTTTGTATGAACATCGACAAGGGTCTAATTCAGATGAATCTGTAAAATGGACACATGACTACTCTGGTAGGAAATACTTCTGAGGTTAACTGGAGCTCTGCAGCTCACAATATGTTGGGCATACGCATCCTGAGAGGATCTAAGCTGTGCAAAGAAATAGATCTGTAGGTAAACCAGCTGGTGTAAGTAGTTAGTCATAGTGGTAATATTAGTTTGGAATAGAGAGAAGAGTTAATGATCAGAGTGTTTAAATAGGTAACTTATAGGCAGGTTGCAGGTATAGCAGCATAGTATAGAACCAACAGATAGTCGATCCTCTATATGGCAGACTACTTAAATTAGACAATGACTAAAGTTGTACGTGTAGCTTGTTATATACTTATCATGTAACTATAAAACCTTAGAAACTGTTCATATAATAGTTCTGAAATAACAAACTAATAAAAATCTAATCGGCCAAGGAAGTGGCCTTAATAATAAAAAAAAAAAAAAAGAATAAATTTATTTTAAAACAAAATAAAAGATCTTGATATAGACTAATAGTAGCCTTTTAAAAATAAGAAGTAAATAAACTATACAATTAATTTATTACTTTTTTAAGAGAAAATACTGCTATAACAGATTATACTTAAATATCTGAAGATAGTTAAGTAAGTTTAGAATAGTTTAAAAGAAGGTATTTTAATATAGTTTTTATAGTAATTTTTTTTTTTTTGTTATTAAGATGGCTTATATTACTGAAAGAATTTTATTAGAATTGTATACAGGATATACATTAATAGTCTCTACTATTTGTAATTATATGAAGAATGTATAACAAGCTACATGTACAACTTTAGTTATTGTTTAATTTAAGTAGTCCACCATACAGGTAATTAGATCACCTAATTGGTTCTACACTATGCTACTATATCTGTAACCTGTTTGTGAGTTACCTATTTAAACACTCTGTTCATTAACCTATACAGATTCAATCTAATATTATCACAATACCTAACTGCTTAAGCTAGCTAGCTTGTTACAGATCTATTTATTCAGAATAGCTTAGATCCTCTTAAGATATATTGTACCTAACATATTGTAGATATTGCAGAGCGGTTAACCTCGAAGCATACCTACTAGAGTAGTCTGTACCTATTTTACAAATTCACCTAGCTTAGACTCTTGTAGATATTCATACAACTCCAGTTCCTACTGTGGCTCTCTACTAGTTTTCTGTATTCTATAATCTTAGATATTTCACGAGGTGATCCTCTCAATCCAGTTAGCTGCTAAGCCAAGTTGGTATTACTAATTCTCCCTGTAGAACAGATTTATGCATGCTTGACTCAATCTGCATCTTTTGACGATAGTTTTCTTTCTAGATTAAATATTAGCTAGTATGACTATTAAAAGCCATACTACTTCACCAACTTAGGATTTCTACTATGCAGATCTTCTGCTCATAGATCCTATCAAGATTTATTCATATAATATTATGTCACACCAAATACCTCGTCACACTTCCAATATCCAGATGATATTAATGCAATGTGATTTACAGGGTTACAACCCCAGAAACAGATAAGGTTTACTGTAAGTTAGGTACAAAAGTCTGAGTAATTATTCAAATTCGTTGACAATAAGATTTGAATCCCAAACCTTTTGCATAGCAGTCTGGTAACCTAATCACTAGACTAAGATCACCAGGCTTGTTTTTATAGTAATTTACTTTGTAGCTAATTTTAACTTTTTTTAATAAAATAATAAACAAGATAACTAAGTATAAAAAAAATAAAAAATAAAAAAAAAATAAACAAATTTTAAGAATTAGACTATACAAACTTAATAAATCAGTTTTCATAATATAAATTTTCAAAAATAGCTTGGCAACCCAGCTTTTAATTTTATTTTTAAAAAATTTTATATATAAAAAACATAAAATTTTTTATAGATTTTGTAAAAAAACTTATTCAAATAGTAAATATACTTGAAATTTTTTTTTAGAGTTTTGTAAATTTTGATCTGACTAGGTTATAAAAACTGATTAATTAATTTTGTATGGCCTTATCACTACAAATTTTTAGTACTTCTACTTTAAATATAAACTTTCTAAATATATTTTTTTAATAAAGCTCTTAATATATATAGATTGTTTTTAATTTTAGTTATATAAAAATATAAAAATTTTAGTTTTTCTAAATACAATATCTCTTTAAATATAAATTTTTGTAATTTTTTTTATATCTTCTAAACAGTTGTATTTAAAAAGTACTAATCTTATACTGTATATTATTATATAAATTTGTAACAGAATTTAAAATTTGAAATAGTTTGAGATTTGGCTAGAGTTTAGAAATTAGAATTTGAAATAAGATTTAACTAGAGTTTAAAAAAATTTGAAGTTAGAATTTAAGATGAAATTTGAAATAGAATTTAGAGTCTAGTTAGAGTTTGGAATTTTACTAGCGTTTGAAATTATAATAGCCTAAATAAGATTTTTCTAGTTTGTAATTTGGGTTTTTCTATATAAGATTTGGGATTTTGAGAATTTTTAGTTTTGCTAACACGTATAGATATATGCTACCTTTTATAGATAAATATAACAAAAAACAAGCTTTTTTGTACAGATATAAACAGAAAAATTCTAGTTCTATAAAGCCTCACATAGCAAAAGAAAAGGATGGGACAAAAAAAATAAAAATTTTAATTTTATGTTAATTATATTCTAATTAGTCTAATTCTTCAAGATATGAATTCTTTTAAAAAAATTTTTTTTGTTCCATCCCCTCCTTTTTCTGTGAAGGTTCCTTATAGAACATGACACCAGCGCTTGCTTTGGTTTTCGTGTTTTTTAATATTTCAAATTTCAAGAGTAGAATCAAATTTACTATCTATTAATCTAATGAAAATCTAAGAATAATTGTAGGCACAAATCCCTGGTTCAGAAATTAATTTAATTAATTTACATATTTCGATTACATTATCATGATTAAATTTTCTCCGCTAGCCAATAAGATGACTAGAGGTTTAAATAACTAAGGACCATTAGCTGTTATGGATCGGTCTTATTAAGGACCAGGATGGACCGGACCGGACTAATCCATCCCTACACATATATTATTCGAACTCAAGCTTTTAACATTTTTAAATTATTACAATAGTGTATAATAAATTTGCACTTTGAATGAACTTTAACAAGGTTTATCCTATTTCAAACTCGTATTAATGAATTTATTTTATACAAGTGTATATATATAGAGATCCACATATTTTATATATTGTACATAACCGATTATTTAAATATGAATTATAAAATGAAAAGATTGAAATATATATAATATAGTGTGTGATATATAAATATTCTATCGCTATTAAAGAATATATATCTAAGAATTTTTAACTTGTTCAATCAAAGGTTCAATTAAAGCAGGATTTGCTAAAGTGCTTAAGTCACCTAATGTATCTACTTCATTTGAAACAATTTTTCTCAAAACTCGTCTCATAATCTTTCCACTTCTAGTCTTTGGTAAATCGGAAACAATATAAACCTTTTCAGGAGCAGCAAATGGACCAATACTTGTACGTACTTGCAAAATCAAATCCTTTGTCAGAGTATTTTCACAATTTGGTTTCAAAGTAGTAAAGGCGTGTACACACTGGCCTTTTAACTCATGAGGTACACCAATAGCAGCAGCTTCGGCAACTGCAGGGTGAATGATTAAAGCAGACTCTATCTCTGCAGTTGACAATCTGTGACCCGCTACATTAATAACATCATCTACTCGTCCACGAATCCAATAATAACCATCACAATCTCGACCAACACCATCACCTGTAAAGTAATAACCCTTATAAGGATTTAGATAAGTATTAAGGAATCGATTATGATCGTTGTAAACAGTGCGTAACATTGATGGCCAAGGTCGACGCACAGCCAAAACACCTTCGGCTTCTGTTGATGTTATCTCTTCACCGGTATTCGGATCTAATACCGCAAGATCGATACCGAAGAATGGATAAGTTGCAGAACCTGGTTTTGTAGATGTGGCACCTGGCAATGGGGTCACAATGATTGACCCAGTTTCAGTTTGCCAATAAGTATCGACTATAGCACAAATATTTCTACCGACGACTTCATTATACCACTCCCAAGCTTCAGGATTAATAGGTTCACCGACTGAACCGATGACTCTTAAACTTGAAAGATCATGTTTATCGACGTGTTCACGACCATATCTACGTAATAAACGAATAGCGGTTGGAGCAGTATAAAATTGAGTAATTTTATGTTTGGCAACAACTTCCCAATATCGGCTTGGGGTAGGATATACAGGTGTCGATTCAAACAATACCGAAGTACCACCATTCAACAACGGACCGTAAATGATGTAAGTATGACCAGTGATCCAACCAATATCAGCCATACAACCATAAATATCGCCTTCGTGATAATCAAAAACATATTTGAGAGTAACAGCAGCGCCTAATAAGTAACCAGCGGTAGTGTGAAGAATACCTTTCGGTTTACCAGTAGACCCAGATGTATAAAGTAAGAAAAGAGGATCTTCGGAGTTGACAATTTCTGGTGGGCAATGGGGACGATGTTTTTCAAGTTCCTCGTGCCACCATACATCACGAGGGGAGCAGAATGGAACATCTGAACCGGTACGGCGGAATACGAAAACGCGTTCAACTTGGGGACATTCCTTCAAGGCATCATCAACAATCTTTTTGGTGTTAATAGTTTTACCACCACGACGACCTTCATCGGCAGTGATAACATATCTACTAGAAGCATCTTGAATACGATCACGTAAAGATTCAGCAGAGAAACCAGCAAAGACTACGGAATGGACAGCTCCGAGACGAGCGCATGCCAAGAATGCAACTACAGCTTCAGGTACCATTGGCATGTAGATAGCGATTGTATCACCTTTTCTCACGCCGTGAGCTTTCAATGCGTTGGCGAAACGGCAAACATCACGTAAAAGTTCACCATATGTAACTTTGCGATCATTGCCAGGTTCATCAGCTTCATAAATAATTGCAACCTATTATTAAAACTTTTATTGTCAATATATAAGTTAAATTTAAATTAATTAATGATAAATGAAATATTTATTTACCTTATCAGGGTTTTTAATAGCATGCCTATCTAAACAATTGTAGGAAGCATTCAATTGACCTTCACGGAACCATGTAACATCACCATGTTCGAAGCCTCCTGAAAGAACGGTTTGGAAAGGTGTATGCCATGTGAGATGTTCATTAGCGAGCTATTAATTGTGAAATAAATATAGATAACGTTAAAAATAATTTGTTAAAACTTTAAAATTTAAAAAATTTACATACTCTTCCCCAAAATTCAGTAGGGTTTTTAATACTCTCTTCATAAAGTTTTTTATATTGTTCGATAGAATTAATATGAGGAGTAGGATTGGTAGATGAATCCAAAAGACATTTCGGAACTGGATGAAGTTTAACTTCTATATTAAGATGATCAGTGGACATTATTTTATATCTTTAATTATGTTATTAATTATTATAACTTATCGTTACGATTATGATCAAAATTCGTTAGAAAAAGGGGGTAATATTAAATTCAATTCAAACGTTCCCTAAGGAAAAAAAAAAAAAGGGAGAAACTGCAGAACAATGCTGCTATTTATAATAATGCACTTCGGACTTTGAGTTTATTAATTTACATATTTTAGGTTTTATTGATCTTTATTATAGTTGTACAGTACTAACGGGAAATCAAGTTTAATTGATTAATTACGTACACATTGTAAAAGTTTACTAACACTTGTTAAATATAGTAAATGTTTAAGAATATTTAGACACGTTTGTTAATCTTATACACCTGTTCACGGCTTGATTAAGTTAAATTAATCTCCATGTAAGTGAATGAAAATAAAATGTCACCAAATAATTGACGTTTTACAAGGCCAAACTTCATTCAGTGTTTGTTGTCCTAATTAATAATGTATTCGTTATTCAAAAAAATATTTTAGGTACTCGTAAACAAGTTTTTTAACGAATTAGATTTCAATATTTATTATCTTTGTTTTAGCTCTTATTGATAATTGGACGAATTAAAAAACGACATTTATTCATTGCGAATTGTAAATATTTGGCGTAAATATTTATTAACAAAAATATTAATTTACATGCATAATTCTATGCACGAATTAAATTCTTTTTTTCATCTTTAGATTTCCTGTAGCACGCAACTTTAATAACCGTAACGGTAAACTTGAATACGTGGTCTCTCAATTATTATGTATCATATGATTGATAAATTTATAATTTTTTTTTTTTAGAAAACTAGTATCATAAAAAGAAACTCGGTCCATATGGTCGGGATGTACTGTACAGTAGGCCAATTAAGTTTGTACGCGATTTTTTTTCTTTTTTCTAAAGTTATTTTTTTGTAACTTTAAAACCAACTTTTATTATTTTTATACTTTCTTCTTGTTGCTTATAGCAACTTTTTAATAAGCTTTTGAATACTTTCCAGTTCTGTCTTCTGAGCT